ATCTTTTTACACACCAACTTCATAATCTCATATATACTATCTTTTCACATCCTTCTTTTATTTCTTCACCCTCATTTCTTTATCCTTACTCTTTTCATTTTACACTTAAAGATCTTATACCAATACCACTAATCCAGGCCCTAACCTCCTTTGACATCTCATACTCTAATGCCTCTTAACTTATTATACAAATATTTCTTAAAATTTTTGACTAATTATATTACAAAATATGGATTCCCTACTGTATTAACTTTTCTCACTAGAAAAAAGCATATAAATTTCTCCTTAACTTACCTCTAATATAATACCTAATCTATCTGGACCCTCTTCATATAAAAGAAACAAAACTAAATATACTTATAACTACCCTTGTAGTTTTACTGATCATCTACATTCTGAATCTAATACTTGTCCTCCTCTAGGACAAGCATCTACCAAACTTAATATCTGGTTCACTATGTGGATTAGATATAGCACACCTATTAACAATATTCTAACTATTCAAATTTAGGTGAGTCTTGACTACTCTAGTAGGTTTAGATTGCAGATAATTAGTTTAAACTTTAGTTTGAGCTTTTAGTCTAAGCTCTTATTCTTGTATATAATTTATATTTATTTGTTTTTGTACAAATTAAGCTTTTATAACTATGTATTTGCTTATATAAATTAATCAATAAAGATATAAGCAAGACCTCACCTTAATACCAAAAAAAAAAAAAGAACTTGTAACTTGTAAATTAGTTACTTTTATTATTAAATTTATTTAACCACTATATATTTTGAAAGATAAATTGTTTTAAGATTTAATAAAAACATTCATACCTAGATATAAAGTTTCATGTATAAAATCAGTAAAAGATCTAATTTACCAGGCATATTATTTGAATAAAGATCAATTAAAAATTATACTAAATTTGAATATAGAAACAATTTATCTAACTACAAATCTTTGGACATCAAGATCTAAACATGAATATCTTGGAATAACTGGAACTTGGTTAACTCCTGAATTTGAATTTCATAAAGTTCTTTTTAAATGTGAACATTTACCATATCTACTTTAGATGAAATCATTAGTTATAAATTATATAAGATAATTCAAAAATGGAATTTACAAACTTCTGTTTTTACAATTATAACAGATAATAGATCCAATTTAATTTGTGAAATAAATCTTCTTTCAGAAAATTTTCTTTCTCGAGTTGTTAGACAACCAAGTGTAGCACATATATTACAACTTACTGTGGAAGAAGGTCTTAAGCAATGTAAAGATTTTCATAAATGTGTAAAAAATTACAAGCTTTTTTCAGGCTTCTAAAACAAGCTGAATGACTTCAACTTTCTTAAAATAAACTTAATTCAACTGCTGAAACTAATATTAATCTATTAGAGATTCTGGATAATACTAGAACTTGATGGAATTCAATATTTTATGCTTAGAAATGTGTTTATTAACTTTATAATGCTATATGGCATGTTTTAAACTTTTTACTTTTAAGTTCTTTACAAATAAGTCAAAAGGAAGGTGAAAAATTAAAACAAATATGTCTTTCTTTAGATGAAAAGCAGTAAGTTTTTTATTTATATACTGTATTATATGATTTAAATTAATAATATTTGTTTATTATAATTTATTAATTAATAAGTTTATTTTTTGCTATATAGCTACTTTTTATTATTATTGCTTTTTGCAAAAAAAATAAACAATTACATTTTGCATCTTATAAATTTTGTATATTATTATTGTTAAACTAATAATAATATACATATTTTAAAAATTATACTTGCACATAAGCTCTTAAAATCCTGTATATTATTATTATTTTAACAATAATAATATGCAGAATTTATATAATTTAAAATTATTATTTGTTGTATTATTTTGCAAAAGTGATAATTCATTAATAAAATAAAACTTTTTAAAATTTACTATTTAATATTAATATATATTAAATTAAAAATTTTAGATTTCATGATATGATTAATATACTATTACCTATTAAAAGAATTACACATTGTATTTCTGGAGCAAATTATCCCATATTTAGTATAATTTATCTATATATAGAAATACTTAAGCAATCTTTTGCACCACAGGCAGATCAAGAAGAAACAAAACAGTCATATCTTGATTCAATTTATGTCAAATTATCTGATAATAGTACTGATAATAGTTCTAGTTCAATCAGTGATAATGATAATACACCAAGTGATGGAGCCTGTCAGCATTAACAATATGCTCATAGACAATTCTGGCAGCATATAAAAAGAGGAAGAGGGAAAAAAAAGTTAGGAGTAAAAAGAAAATACTCCAAAAAAGACAAAAAGACAACACAAACCAATAAACTTAATATAGTTGAAAACTTGTCTGCAGTTAATCTAAATGAGGGTGAAGAAATAAAAGAAGGATGTGAAAAGATAGTATATATGAGATTATGAAGTTGGTGTGTAAAAAGAT